GGAAAAAGACATCTGTATGGTGTTATCATTGTTCATGTTTGGGAATATGTCATCCCTGATTTTTATTTGACTAGATAGGCACAGCAGTACACAGGCTAATTACAAGCTTTTGGTTTCTCCTCGTGACTTGGTGTTAACTGGGAATTGACAGCTGACTTAATCTAATCAATTTTCTCCTGAACATTTTTAACAAACAACTTTGACTTGAGAAATACTTCTGATACTTTCCCACTGACATTTCTAATTTGGAAAATTAATCAACATAATCATTATGTTCTTTACACCTCCATGAAAACCCAATTAGTGTTCTTCTTTTACAACTCAGCAGGCAGCTTCTGAATATAAGAAATCGAGTTTGGAAAATAATTGATTCATTCAAGGCTGTTGCAATATGAGAAAAGACAATACAGTGCTTTAATTATTCACATAAATGGATTAAATTATATTATAAATTATAATTATTTTACCTTACAGTACTTTGTGTTTTAAAAATTTGTTTTCTAGTAGTACCAAGATGGTAGAGTTACTTTGTGAATCAGGGAGCTAAATAAACCAGAAGTATTCTGTTAGCTCAGTACATTTTGTCACATATGGCAGTAAGTTAGTAAAGAAAGAAAAGAAAAAGCAAAAATAAATAAAATAAAATGATTAGTGAGGGAAGAGTGGCATAAAAAAAGGCATACTACAAATTATTCATAACTGTGATTGGGAAACAACACTTGTTGGGAAAGTAAAATTAAAGCTCAGAAAAAAAATTACAGCTCAGAACAAAAATTACAAACTAGGGTGGAAAGTGAAAACTTAATTTATTATCATTAAAATGGACATTTTGTACTTAAATTATACCTCGATTTATTCTTCCTCTAGTTGAGCCACTTTTTGTACTTTTGAGGGCCTCAGTCGTATACATGTTACAGTCGTAGGGTTTTTGGCAAACTATAATACATACACTGAATAACGAGTGGGGATAGGGTGGTCGTGCTAGACGGGCATGTTTTTGTCTTTTTCTAGGCAAATCTGACCGAAATGCCGTTGACATGCCGATTTATACGGTTCAAGCCATTGCTTTACAAACCTGATAGTGCAGCGTCCTCGGATCACTGCTTCAGCCATTCAAAAACCGTCTCATTTTTAGCCTTAGTGCATAAGCTTTTCTATAAACAAAACTTAGTTGCCACGGAGCCGCGAGCGAAAAACAACAATTTCATATCGTGTGCAACTTCAGTTCGGCTTTGACAAATTATATAATTGAGCTTAAGAACTATCCAAAAGGTGAGCCGAGTTTCAAGGCTAAGTTTACTGTATTCTTTCTAAGTTTTGCCTCTTTACGCTGTCGATTTGACTCACGGCGAAAAACATTGTAAAAGTTATCGG